TTCTTCCCCCTCTTCCCCCGCCCCGCCGAGCCCTCTTTTACGTTGCTACTTTACACATTTTCATCGCCGTTTTTCTTTGTTTTTTTTTTGCGCCCATTTTTTTTTTTTTCCCCTTAGCGCCCGTTTTTTTGGGACTACCGGCCCGCCCGACGCGGCGCATTAACAGCCGCGTCGGATTTCTCAAGCAGGGCGAGGTACTGGTGGTTTAAAATAGAAGTGATCTATATTGCCTCGCCCGCTGCATGGCAAGAGCGCGGATCTATAGAATCAAAACAGCTACCGTCTTCCCCTGAACACAACGCACCCTTATTTTGGCTGTATCTGGCCGGAAGTATAGCTTGTATACATTCATTTTTAGGGTGCGTTATGTTCGGGGGAAGACGGTAGTTATGTCGCCTTCGATGGCCCATATTTGGTGTTTTTTATTCCTACGCCCTCCCGGACAGTCCACCAGCCACTACGATGCACTCACCCTTCACCGGCTTGAGTTCAAAATCGAATTCGTCTATCTCCTGTGCCCAATCCGCTAGCTTGGGATTCAACTTCGCCTGTGTCTTCAACCAGCGTAGTGTCTCATGATCTGAGTACGCGCTACTAGCGGCGCTAGTTTCTCCAAGTCTTTAGGGCCTCATACACAGCGTACAATTATCTTTCGGGGGCCTCATACACAGCATACAATTCTCTTTCGTAGGCAGATGATGCTACTTTTTCTTATGGAAGCCACTTCTACATGAATTCTATGGGGCAGAATCCTTTCCCATCATCCTACATCCCATACTAACCACCGTCTGTTGTCACTACGAACGGTAAGGAAGGTCTGCGATTTTCAGGACCGGGTTTTCAATCGGCATCTTCTTCAACTTTCGCAGTGCTCCTCGTCCCATTCCTGCACTGCCTGCATTTTCAATAATCTACGCACTACTGTCTTCACCCGAATAGAACACCCGGTAATTATTCCCGTATCTGGACTGAAAGTTGCACCAAATACAGCTATAATGACTGGGCGTTCTATTCGGGTGAAGACGGTAGGGCTACGATTGTACTGAAGTTTCGCACTAACTTCCTGTAGCAATTTTCCAAGCCTAGGAAAGATTGCAGTTCAGTCAGATTCTGCTCTCTTCTTTTTTCCCCAATCAATCAGGCCCTTATGGTCCTGGCTCCACATCCATTAGGGGGAGCGTCAGTCCGGTTCCTTTTTTTTTTTTTTGTCTTTTTTTCTTTGGCGTCAGTCCGGTTCCTCTTCCCCCGGCAAGTCAAAAAATAACAGTAGTACATCATATACCCACTCATGCACCCTTCTGTCCAGTCGAAGGGTCCCACAGTTCAGTCAGATTCTTGGGTCTCGACCAGTCTCGAATTGCAGCTATCTCCTTATCCTCAATCTGCACTCCACCTCCATCTATTACATGACCGAGGTACAGCACCTGTTGTTATGGCCGGCTTTCATTTCCGCACCCACTCCAAGAGGTGAAGAGAGTCTGCCCCAATCGCACACACTATAAAACTCAAAGATAGCCTGGACAATCAACTCAGTTAAAGATAGGCGGCTACAGCCAGCAGGCAAGCTCTCTCGAGTATGGTCTCTCTCCCATCAAACTCATTCTTCTCATTCTAAGTCCTCACATCTGTCTGAATATCACTCAATACGTCTCTCTCTCTCTCTCTCTCTCTCTCTCTCTCTCTCTCTCTCTCTCTCTCTCTCTCTACTGGCGCCCAGCACCATCAACTACTTCCTCTATGCCATGCACAACAGTGAATCCTAAAATAGCGCACCAGTGGTTCTGCCTGGACCGTGCGCAGCCTGGTCACACAAGTGAATATGTGTTGACGACGTCAACAAGCAGACTTCGGTACCCGGCGGTTCCTTTACCAGTTATAAGCCAGTGCCTTGCTGATATTTGTCACTTCCAGGAGTTTGTGTACTTTCCTAGGACTTTGCTGCTGACTGGACCGACCGCTGCAGGGCGCCTGCTGACTTCAACCGGCTTTCCTTGCCTACTGGTACCTACTGCAATCTTGCCACATTGGCCTACTGCCAGCCAACCTGCCTGGTACATAGGAAATGAGACCACGCTGACAGCAGTGAAATGCTCCCACAAATTGGCTTTGAGTGCACAAAGAGGCTGCCTTCACCTAGCAGCTTATGTAGCTCACAATCTGGTAATAAATTAATAATCAATGGCTACAACACCGTTAGAGATTCCCAGTTCTGAACAAAGAAAGGCAAAAGAAAAGAACACTTGCCGTCTACACTACCCTTGCAAATGCAGTGCAACAACAAGACAAGACTGTTTTCTATTCTGCAAAGAAAACGGGAATTGAAAAAAAGCGCATGGCCGCAATCTGCAAAGCGGACAGTTGTGCAAGAGCAGGTTGTACTGCAGGGTTGCGTGAAAATGTGTTGCAGGGAAGTCTGATGGCAAACATTGAGCGGAAATCGGGCAAATATCAAAACCCTAGACAAAATTCCGACAAAGATGGATCTATGCAGCAAACCTACAGCAGTCACTGTTCTCTGCATACAGCTCCCGTTCCGTGTTCTGGTGGACCCTAAACCCTCAAACCACGAGAGGCAGTTAACTGAGACCCAAAATTTCAGCGTTTTTTTAATGCTATTTATAAGAAACCAGAAGCCCTTTTTAACCAAAAATTGCATCATTCCATAGAGTGCACGCCATATTAACACAAACCACCAGTACACCTGGGCCCGGAGGCGCTGCACTGCACGCCAAGCCTTAATGGTGAAGGCATAGTCTTTCCCCATCACTGATGGCGGAAGGTCGAGGTTCCAAGGGTTCGGTTGTTCGCCGATGGAAGTGGTAAAAACTCATTGCCGTGTCAAACGAGAGTAATCTCACAGGTGCACTTCTTTCCTTTTTTGGCTGGCGCCGTCTACCATTGTCTTCTGGTAGGCCCAAGCCACGATATTTTCGGAGCAGGCGGCCAACATTTTTCTGCAAGGCTGGGACTGCGTACTGGCAGCTCAAAAAAACACACAAAAGGTAAAAGGGTGTGGCTGCCTTTGAGCAACATCGCCAATGGGATGTAGCTCTGTCACTGCAAACATAGCAGCACGCCTGTTCAGACGAGTCTACCAACATATGTAGAAGCAGATCTACACTCAGGATCGTCTGTGGCCCCACACAGACCTGCACGCAACCAGCTGCCTACGTAGCACCATATTCGCGTTCGGAGGCGAACACGAACAAGCGCCCAAAACCCTCCGAACGTGAACATAAAAAATATTTAAAAAAAAAAACAAAGTTCTCAGAAAAATCTGAAAACAATATATGTTATGTAAAATAACAATACAAGCAACGTTTGCCTTGGAGTCGTGTTCAAATTCGTAGCCAATCATGAGTTAACTTAAAAATAAAAAACCGAGAAAATATATTTTTATGGAAAAAAAAAATGTCTGCCGGAACATGTTCGCGAGCTGTTCATGTGAACGTGAAGGGGCGCGAACACGTTCGCCGTGCTACGCAGCCAGCTGCTACTACCGGAATATGCCGTTTGCGGACACTTGGAGGTTTTCCCAATTAGACCGAAGAGAATCTACAGCCTCTCGCGTCAACTTACTGCAGCTATCCACATGTAATGACCGCAAGTTGTCCAGCCTTGTCCCAATGAGATCCAGGCTAGCATTCGTGATACGAGCACCAGTCAATTTCAAAACTTCCAACCGAGGCAGATTCTGTGTAATGACTCTCACATCCCTATCTGTCAGACGGTCAGCCCCAGTTATATGTAGCACCAAGCAAACCAGTTTCGGGAGGCCCGTTACGAGCGCTTTCACAACCTCCGAGATTTCTCCACGTCGTCTCGGCACCTTAACATGAATTTCGGTCACCTGGAACAAGATCTTCAGCGATCGCAGTCGATCGCCGCATCCATGCACGAAAGCACTTACAGCAGGCATCCACTCCCTTTCCCCTCCGTGCAAGGTAAAAAACTTCACATCCCCAACTATGAACCCTTCCAGCATTGGGCAGTTGCGCCCAATGAACTCAAGTAATGACCGTTTGCAGGATTGGAAAAAGAGATTGACTAGCGTGCCTCTGCTCCGCAGCACAACAGCCTTGACGGCTTGCTCAGTCGCATGCGGCTTGCTCACAGAAAGAGAATACAAATTGCCTTCCATGCACCAAAAACTGGGATCCATCGCCACATGGCGCCAGGTCTTGCACACACAGCACAAACGACACCGATCTACGGTGGTAAGCAAGCCGAAGATCTGCATAAGCAGGTGGTCATTCAGACTCGACCAATCAACTACTCCTCTGCCATCATCGATCGCAGCAGCAGCCTCACTCATGCTATATTCACCACCATGACGATCACCATCACCATCATAGTGATGATTGGGAGCACTGCAATCATACCTGATGGCTACGGGTTCCCCTGCACCTTGCCCTCCAATGCCCTCGCTACTTCTTTCTCCCATCATTATTTCCCCTCTTTCTCTCTCCATTGTTGTCCTCTCTCCACCAGACAGGTTCCCCCCTTGGTAATACAAGTCTAAGTGGGTGTGGCTGTGGGTGTGGCTGTCGGTGTGTATGCATGCACAACACCGACTCTCTCTCTCTCTCTCTCTCTCCACCTAGGTCTCCTCCTTTTGACATGTCAGTCATACAAAGGTAACAAGTGCCTGTGGATAAGGTGATTGGCCTCCCTTTCCCTGCCCCTCCCCATGCAGAACGGGCACCGACCCATTGTTTTTATTATATTCCCGTACTTGCAAGCTTGTTCGTTCATTCATCGTGTGCACCCCCCCAAAACCCCATCCAACCCAAAGATTTATAAATAAAAAGTTCAGTGTGGGCCGTTGATATGCAGCGGGCCGCTGATCTAACTGCTGCAATTGATCGATGGATGACACAATAGTAATCCAGAGGAGAAGAACTGTTCCAGGGAGAAGTCAGCCAACCACCCAAATGCTGCATCCGACCCAAACATATATAAATAAAAAGTTCACTGTGGGCCCTTGATCTCGCGGGACGCCGATCTAACTCCTGCAATTGATTGATGGATGACAGAATAGTAATCCAGAGGAGAAGAACTGTTCCAGGGAGAAGTCAGCCGACCACCCAAACGCTGCGGTCTTCTCATTCGTCCCTGGCCTTAGAAGTACAAAAAGATTGTGAAATGCCCGTTGCACTCCACCCCCTATTCACACACCAACGCTCATCCAAACCTGAATTATCAGAGTCGCACTAGACACGGCACGGAACCTCCTTACTCAGTCTCTCCCGCCCCGAAGAGTGGAAAACACAAGGTTGGCAATCCGCCAATGATCCAAACCTGAATAGTCAAATCCAAACCAAACACCAAACTTCAATTAGACAGAAACAAGCCACCAACTGGCACCAAGTACTTGCTGAGTGAGACTTGCTCTTCAATGAACTACTACCTGAGAAAAACAAGCCAGCAAGCAAGAATAAAACCGGGGGAGAGCCACCATCTTGAGCCCTAACTAGAAACCAAAGCGTACAAGCCCCCTTGTGCCCAAAGACTCCCCACCCATAAGCCCCTCGGTCTACCCTTCTCTGTCATTTTCAGGACATCACACAGATTTGATAAATCAATGTTACCATCGGGATGCGTCAACACAGTGCTTGGGCATGCATGTGTGAGCACATGGAACAGAGGCAGACAGGCCGACAGACAGACAGACAGACAGAGAAAGAAGGCATATGGAAACAGAGAGAAGCTCCGAGCAAACGAAAGTGGGTGCAAGCAGACACACTGTAAATACCTACTCAGGTTGCAGATTGTTCTTCAAGAAGCAAAATGGAGAGGAAAGCGGGAAAAAAAAACGAAGAACAAATGACAAAGCAGATAACAGCGCGGACCATACATGCGGTGCATCACGTGTGCGCAAGTTTGGCACATGCACCACATAACGTCCGCACGTACGTGATGCGGCGCAATTATGAATTTAAAGAAAAAAAAAAATCAAAAGGGCAAGGCTGTGGTTACCAAATGTGTGCCTCCCTTTTGAAAATTGTAACTGCACAGAAAAAAAATAATTTTGGGCCATCCTCATTGGATTTAGCCTCTTTTCCAAAGGGTCCCCTGCAAAGAATTAGTGGGGATCCCATTCATTTGGAAGAACGAGCATTGAACTGCTGAACGAACACGAGCAGACCAGCAATATATTCTGGATTCGGATTCAGGTCTGTGTTCCAAGAGTTATGGGTTACGAACTTACTCCAAACACTACAGTAGCTGTCTCGTTTTTTTGTTTTTCCTTTTCTTACGTGCAGTGGCCCTAAGGGTCTCGCTCCAATCATCAGCACTTGCACAAAAGAAAAACATATGGCTTGTATGGTTCCAGTTTCTAGGAGAAGATTCATTCTAGTTTTGCACATTTGGTGAGTAGTGGAGTGAAGCCCTGAAAATCACATGCCGAGTTAACAAGTCAGTAACCCGTAACTGCTGAAACACGGACCTGAATTTGAAGCTACACCATATATGCCTGGCCTGCTCCCTCCTTGCTACATGCCCAGCGACTATTCTTCTCCTACTGACGAGGTCCTTGCTAACTTTTGGCAGGGACCTTTTGAAGTACGGCACGGATTTTTTGAAAAATGTGAAAAGCCTCTTTGCTCTCTCTCTCTCTCTCTCTCTCCCTCTCTCTCTCTCTCTCTCTGTTGCATACTGTAACGTGCAGACCAGAACAAGAACCGACCTTTCAATACAAAGTATAAGATAGCACAACGGAAGACTTAGATACCAGTGATCCGAACAATCAATGTTGCAATGCAGCCCTGAACATACATCATCATCATCCGTACATGGTGTGAATGGGGCCTGGCGCTTCACACAGGAAGACTGCGCCAGCCCATACCATACACAGACGAGGAGGAAGGGGATAGACGAAGAGGA